GAGGAGATACGACAAAGGGGTTCTTTTTAGCGGTAAACGCGCAAACTTGTGTCTTCTGAGGATTAAACTGGACTAGATTTAGTCGCCCCCAATCCGAGACTTTGTCCAGCAAAGACTCGACTTCAGACACAAGTTTGTTCCGGTACTCGGCGACGTTTTCCCGAGAAATATTGGCACGGCCGGTGTATAGAGCATCACCAGTGCTGTCATCCGCATAGCAATGAATGTTACCAGTTAGCAACATATCATTGATATGCAGAAGAAACAGCGTTGGTGATAGCACACAGCCTTGTGGAACACCAGCGTTAATAGGCTTGTAGTCAGAACATGCACCGTCTACAACGACCTTGATGCTCCGATCTGCAAGGAAGCTGGTGATCCAATTGCACAATTTCTCGGGAAGCCCATAGGAAGGGAGCTTCGAAAGAAGCGCTTTGTGCCAAACCCGATCGAAGGCCTTCGCAATGTCCAGACTAACGGCCAACGCCTCCCCCTTGGACTCTACTGCCTCCGCCCATCTATGGGTCAGGTAGACTAGAAGATCACCAGCTGATCGACCCCGACGAAAACCGTATTGGCGGTCACTGATCAGCTGGTGATCCTCAAGGTACCGGATGAGCTGGCAGTTAATAATGGATTCCATTATTTTGGAGAACAAGGAGGTGATCGCGATAGGCCTATAGTTGGACGGGTCTGAGCGGTCGCCTTTTTTAAGGGATCGGGTGGACAAAAGCTGTCTTCCATGAGTTTGGGACAACGCCATGGGAGTAGGAGTACCGGAAAAGACGCGTTAGAACCGGTGCCAACTCCGGAGCACACGTCCTCAGCACAATTGGGGGGATTCCGTCAGGCCCACTCGACTTGTGGATGTCAAGGGAGAGGAGTGCTCTGCGAACCGAGCGCTGTGAGAATAGCACATCCGGCATAGAGCACTCACACCGCGGGATGGTCGGCGGTGTGTTCCCCCCGTCATCAACAGTCGAGTTGGACGCAAAAAGGGAGCCTAAAAGGTCGGCCTTCTCTTTTGCGTCGTGGGCCAGTGAGTCGTCCTCCCTGTGCAGAGATGGTAGTGATGGCTTACAGAAATTCCCTTGGACAGCCTTGGCGAGAGACCAGAATGCACGGGTTCCCGAAGGAAGGCGAACTAGTTTCTCGCCAATTCTGCCTATGTGCTCTGACTTTGCCTTGGCAATAACTCTTTTGAAGGACCTGGAGGCGAAGTTATACTTCTTTTTAAGTGTGCTGGTGTTTACATCCCGAGTCACCGAAGCCGCAGCCCAGGCTTGATAACACTCCTGCTTTCTGCGCAATGCAGTCTTACAGGAGCGACCAAACCAAGGCTGAGATCTGCCTCCGATGGGTACCACAGATGATGGAATAAATAGTTCCATTCCCTGTAGCACCACATCAGTGACAGAGTCAGCAACAGCGCTGGGATCATCCGGCGAGAAGCAAACCCGCCCCCATGGGTAGGATGCAAAGAAAGACCGCATTCCGTCCCAATCCGCCGACCTGTAATGCCAAACACGGCGGCAACCTGCAGAACGCAACCGCGAAGGGAGCGTGAGTGGCACCATACTCCGGATCAGACAATGGTCCGAAGAGCCGAGAGGGGCATCGACGGAAACCTGATATCCGTCCGGATGAGAGGTCAGCAGAAGGTCCAACAGGGAAGGTGTATGATCCTCCACATCTGGAATCCGCGTAGGCGAAGTGACCAGTTGTGTCAGACCATATGCCAAAGCAAAGTCATAAACAGATCTCCCCGCATGATCGGTTAAACGTGAACCGAGCCATTCGGCATGGTGGGCGTTAAAATCGCCAAGGATCACGATCTCTGCGGATGGGACCTGTTGTAGCAAGGAATCTGTAGCCATTTGGACGTGGTCGATGAGTCGGTCTGTTTCGGCATTACCGCTATGGGACCTATAGAGGCACACGTAGACGCGCGGATGGTCGTCGCTGTCTACGCGTAGCCAAAGGATGGACAGGTCCGAACCTTCAAGACTGCCGAGGCGTCGAGAACAGATGTCCTCTCTGACATACACGCAAACTCCAGCCCGAGGCACAAAGGAGTGCTCCAATTTGTACCCCGGGCAGGAGAGATACGAAATATCAGCCGGAGAGGAAACCTGCGTCTCGGTCAGAAAGAGCAAGGCCGGCTTCGCCGTCTCGAGATGGTAGTGGACGGCGTTTAGGTTAGAGTGAAGTCCCCTGATGTTGCAGAAATTCACGGATAGCGTGGCAGGGGTCGCCTTGGTATTGTTGCTCAGTTTGCCCCAAGCAGTTTTGTTTTTGAGCGGAATTTTGCCCCCCCCCCAGAATACGCGGGGCAGCCTGAGCACCCACGCTCAGGATTGGAATAACATGGTCGTGGATGCTCAGCGAGGGATTCTCCAGGGGTACTGGTACCCTCCTGGGGTAGTCTACTTTGTAATTCCGCTACCATGTTGATGGGGGGGGGGGGGGGAATTGGTAAGAAAAATGAACCGTATACAAAGGTTGTTTTCGTAACTCATGATACAACGAAATAAAAATCTCACGTTTTACCCAAAGATAAACTAATGTTTTAATTTGTTTGTTTACTCATAAATTTCCGGAAGGCATAAACAACCGGGCTGTAGGAATACCGCTTGCAAAAAGATAAAGAACAACTGACTGTCATAAAATATTACATGACGGGAAACACTAACCTCGACCGTATCATGTAGCGTCCTGAATGGTCTAAAAGCACGACGCTTTATAGGGTCGCTTCCATTTAACGCCCTCCATTGCAGGCTTCGTATAGTTTACGACGGTACCGTGCTATGAAAATTTCAAAGCAAATTGGGTCGATATTTGGTATTGCTATTAGCTAAATGTTAAATTTAATAACTTTTGTTATTTTGCTTTATAAGTCTACCATAACAGCATTTTATTTGAGTTCAACATTTTTAGTAGTCATATTCAGTAAAACAGAACACGTATAGCATCACTTTTGTGATCTCTTTTTTAGAATGGCTGTCGAAGTCATTTATTTGGCACAGTTATGAAATGCGGCTATCTAAATGTAAATGTCATATTTAAAATTTGTTTTTCTAGTCAGATTGGATTTTATATTAAAAAACAAACGTTAAAAATCAATTTTTTATGTTTAATGATACATAAGATCTCCAAGGTGACAAGCTAGCATATAGCCTATCTGATGATAAGTGAATGCTGTGGCCCATAGACATACATTATCAATTAAGAATTGAGTTGTCACCCGTGAAGACTAAGATAGAATACCCCATTACCAGTTAAACGGTTGTCCGGTACTCTACACTTACCGTATGAAACACAACAGCATTCAACTTCTATTCTATGCTGGTATTCTGTGAGAGAGTGGTCCTCCCCGGTCGAGTTGACCCATTCGTGCTACAATTATAACACAACTGCAACATAGCCCTGCCGTACTAACATGGCCCTAACGTAAAAATATATCGGGGTTTCATCAATTCAAACAGATAATTAAATAAAATGGTTCATGCGGTAGAAAACACATTACAGTCAGCTTAATAAGATGCTTATAGAAGACGCCAGAGAATTGGCTGTCGGTTTCCGATCTAATATGATATCACGCGAAACGGAGCCTCGGCAATCGCCTTAGCTACCGATGCGTGTTCATTAAGTACGACTAAGTCGCTTAATAATCATTATACATGTCCTAAATTAGAAATCCAGTCGGAGCCGACCTATTTCCCAACACACACATTATAGTGTTTGTTTGTGATTTTGTTAATAAAAATAAAAAAGAAGTATGTGGGACAACCAAGCAAAAAGCCCGCGTGATATCGAGTGGAAACTGTGGTCCAATATCATCCTTGAGAACTAAGATAGAATACCTCGTTACCAGTAATAAGGGTCTCCGGTTCCCTATACTCACCATACGAAACATTAAGCTGCTATTTTACGCTATTCTGTGAGGGCGTGGTCCTTCCCTGGTCGAACCAACCCATCCGTGCTGCTTATAACTACTCCCTGCATGTCATTTCATTTCACTTACCGGTACGCGGCTGCCACTCGACAAACTTGCTTGTATCATTGGTGGTTGATTCTTGGGCTTCACTGCCACTTCAGCTCAAAGATAAGACTAATGTTTGGGATTATACGTAAACCCAAAAATATTTCATTAGCCCTAAAATCTCTCTCTTTCTATTGAGAAATAAAAATTGGCTATATATTTTAATTAAATTTAAGCGAGCAGACTAAAAGTTCACGTAATGGTAAATACCTACTGCGGATCATGGACACCCGCAACCAACTTATAAGAAAGAAGTATAAAGATTCCTTATCACCTCTGAGGTCCAATAAATGACTAATGGAATGCACTCAGCCTGTAAATCATGTTCCAGACCGGAACACATCAGTGTTATATATTAATAATCGTGTATGTCAATTATATCAATAAAAATACCCTTTATTTTATTAAATTTAGGTTTCTCTACAACCACCCTGTGACTTCCACGCGTTTCGTTGTACCGGTTCTGTATGGGTTCGAGTAAGTGTATTAATTATTAAGCTAAATGTTTTAGACTTTTCCAGATACACGAAAATATTTTCCGTATTTTCACACAATTTAGCCAATCACTATTATATCTAACATCATAATAATTATTATGTTCTTACAAAGGAAACGTAACGTTCCAGATTTTGTTTATAGAATAAGGGTGAAAAACGAGCACACAGTCCTGATGGAATGCCTCGTTTCGATTAAAAAGGATCTCCACGGCAGCATTGAGCAACTATTTTACGCTGGTATTTTGCGAGAGCGTGGTCTTCCCCGATCGAGCACCACTGCAGCAGTAATATAACTACCACGTGTAAATAAGTAGATAGACAGTTTATTGTGTTTGTTTTTGCAGAAAACTCACAAAAAATCTTTGTTTCAGTTATCTTGAAGCATGCATCGGTGGAGGCCTCATCCCTCCGTTCCTCCCTCCTCTCCACCATCACAGCGCATGTGATCCAGCGCAGTCGATATGACACCACACGTGGCACTGTTGGTCATACTGTGCCTCGTCCATTGCGACACCAAGACCGTCCTTCAGGATAAGCTCGGTAAGTACTAGTGTATATTACTATAAATTATCTATTTCGGCCTATTGAAGTTCTTCCTATAGATTGCTTCATAAGATGGGATATGTATAGTTACTTCACTTGGCAGGTAAGTTGGCATAAGTAAGTCACTGCTGCCTATCTCCCGATTTGTTTCCTTTTGTCGCATCTTACGATATTCACGGTATATCTAAGTATTATAAACATATTACTAATTGACGGCTCCGTAGCCCAAGGGCTGCTTAGTCACAAGTTGCAGCGCTCGGGGCACCGGGTTTGAATGCCGCAGGTGTTCCATATATATAAAATTCGTATGGCCTACAAATAATTATTCCAGGTCTGGATGTTTGTGTAATAAAATGAGAACATCATCAATGTACCTAGCCGAAGTCAATTAAACACGCATTATTAAGGCTAACTTAAAACATACTAATCATATCTTGATCAAATTTATATAGGACTACATGAGAAACACCAGCTTCCAAATAAAAAAAATCATCAAAATCAGTCGAATTGAGAACCTCCTTCTTTTGAAGGAGGTTCTCAATTGAAGTCGGTAAAAAATTGATATAACCAAATAAGTTACACCTTAAGGAAATTAACATTTTATTTCATAATTTATCATTACAAACTATCAAAAGTACACAGCTGAACTTAAGCCTCCCCCATAGATTGCCTCGTGGGAGGATATTCACCATATTACCACGCTTGGTAGTTATCAGAAAGATGAAGCTGCTCATATCCTGCTTATTTTCCGTTAGGAAAAAAACTAACCTCTACACGGAGCATTTTATTCACTAAGCAAAACCCACAGCTGATAATTTTATCTCTCTCTCTCTCTCTCTTTCTCTCTCAGAATTCAAAACGACATCATACCTGATCGCTATTACAGATACACCCAAATGTTTGTTAATTTCTACCTGAAATAAAGCTGCCGCATTGAAATTTTGAATACGAAACATTGTCGAAATTTCAGTCAACGTCATTGAATATTCTGACGATTTCTGGTCTTGATAATAAAGCAAATGTTGATAATAAAAAAAATGGAAAGAACGCAAAATGTCTTTATCTGTTTCTTTGTCATTTTGATTATGTAAATATTGTGTTAGCAATCACCATTTTATGAACGGGATACGCAGAAAAAGGCCGTGTAATTAAAACAAACAAAAAATACGAAAAGCGAAACGTACCTAATGCCCGTTTTCACAAATAACGTTCAAAGCGAAACTTCCTGAAGTGGATGCCACGAATTTCCTATCCCCTTCGAAAGGACTGATCGAAACAAATACTGGACATTTCAGAACAGCAATTTTATTGGCCTGTCAAATCGTTTTGATTTTTAAATTCGTACACGAAAATTTTAGTTTTCAAACTTATCTTAGATATCTTCTTTATTTTAAATGGTTTCTTCTAAAAAAGATGTTAAGATAAATTACCTCAGATCCGGGTGAAAAAATGAAAATGATATGCAAAGAGTATAACAAGTACGTACAGGAAAAGAGAGCCCTCTGACGATGTTTTATTGCTGACAAAATTGAATTACTAGCGTCTCCTACAAATCGAATCCGAACTAATTCGATATATATATATTAGCTGTATAGCTATATTATATACATCGTATTTAAAATATTATGTTTTTTAATTCGTATACTTACTGAAACAGTTCCTACTATTTTTTAAATTATACTAATTTATACTTTTAATATTAAAAGTAGGTAAATAGTTTCAAAAAGTACACTTGTATTTCTGAGATAATCTTTATATATAAAAATTACGTGTCACGTTGTTTGTCCGCGATTCCTAAACTACTGAACTGATTCCAATGAAATTTTGTACACTGTTTGCATTTTGGTCCAACTAGAGAGATAGGAACACAAACAGAAACAGAAACAGAAACTTTTTTATTCAATATAGATTATAAATAATACCTATTGAAAGTCACTCTTTTGTTTGATTACCACTGGTTCGGAAAAAACCTCTGTCCTGGGAAGAACCAGCAAGAAACCCAGCGGGACTTTTTTTTTAAATAACAGCTTACAATCATGATGTTACACAAATTAACAACACAACAAATTAGAAATAGCTTGGTAGCGATCACCTCATTTCCAGGGGTTATTATCATCCATAAATTCCTTAATATTATAATAACCCTTTTTATACAAACTTAGTTTAATAAAGTTTTTGAACTTTGAACAGGTCAAACTTTGTATATTTTCTGGAATTTTGTTGTAAAAGCGTATACATCGCCCCAAGAATGAATTACGTACGTATTAGGATAGTTTTTATCCCGATAAATCACCCTCAAAATTTTTATTGCGAATTTAAAGATTTTTATAGGAAGGGTCGTTGGAAAGGGCACAACAACGTCTGCCTGGCCAGCTAGTAGTATATAAAAAGGGTATTTGCAATGAAACAAGAATGACAATTTAGTTTGACAGGTATTTCATTTTTTTTTATTATAATATTACGCTGTTTGCCAGTTTCATAATTATCATATTTATCGATTGAATCGACAATTATTACGTATTTTTATGTTAAAATAATAATTTGTTATTAATATAGAATGAAATGGGCTGCTGTAAAGCACTCGAAGCGATAAAATCTGTAAACATAGTTTTATTCAACAATTTCAAGTGGTGTAAATTTTGTAGGTTTTTTGGCTACGGAATACTGCTTAGGATACTGCTTTGTGTACTATAGACAAATTAAAATTTTGTACAACCGACTCCAATATGAAATATTAAGAATAACTCAAAAACTATTTGTTGGACATTGATCAAATTTATACGGGACTACATGTGAAGCATTAGCTTTCAAATAAAAAAAAACAATCTTTGAAATCGGTTCACCCAATTAAAAGTTATGAGGTAACATACATAAAAAAACATACAGTCGAATTGAGTACAGTCTCCTTTTTGAAGTCGGTATAAAACCGGCGTAAATTCAGCATCGACGAGAATTCTATTTTTGTCTAGGAGTCAGTCTGGGTAGGTGCTATCCACTTACCAAATAGCAATGCGTGTATAGCTGTATTCTGATCTGATGGGTACAGTCGGTTCAATTACAGGCAGACACTCGCAGTGGCTACTATAAATATAAACACTCCATCTTATCACGTCGGTAGAGTTGACAACGCAGCTGTAGCCTTCATTAGTTAAAGTTAGCTGCACAATAGGTGTATTGTAAGTTGTTTATAATAATTAATAATAATAATAATTTTATTTTGACATAATAATTGACATAATATTATTACAATAAATGTTTCATTGAATCCATAAGCTCCCAAATTAGTGTATAACTGTGTTTCAGGAGCCAGTGGCTTCTCCCATAACATTGTATATTTAATTTATGCCTTAACATAACATTATAAACAAAACTACTTAAAACAAGAAAAGAAGTTAATAAAAAAACACCTTTCTTTAGTCATTTAAATTTTATAAAAACTGACATTCCATCTTAGCTCGCAAATGTGACAATACAACTGAATTATGATTCCTAAGCAATACATATGTATAAATGGGGTGTAAAGAATCCAATTTTCGCACTTAGCGCGCTTGTTCGCTTTTTGTACATTTCCTGTTTATCATACACCTCATATTACACAGATTAGACAAGTCTGTAGGTGGAGGCTGGTGATCTATTATACAGAGAATCATAGTAATTTAAAGCTGTATATTATGTTTATTTCTAAATTTGCGAGGGAATAGCATAAACCTCATTTTAAATATTTATTAGTTTTAGGTGAGGTGATCAGGTGATCTCTGTGTTCGTATCATCCTTATTTGTCTACAAAACTGCACGAAACCGGATCCATTTCTATTGTAGGGAGAGAAGTTTAAAAATAAAAATTATTAATATTATAAAACTTCAAATTTCTCTTGGTCGTTCGTTAGAACATATAGTGTATAAAATATTCATGTTATAATCAACAATAAAATAGACACAAGCATCCCTTTTCAGAATTCGCAGGGACGTAGAAGATATACAGATTACCCTTTCATCCATTTTACCGTTAGCTCAGTGAAGTTTCTGTCAGTCCATTGTCCTCCAACGCTGTTAAAACCGATAATAATATTATGCCATCCGTTCATATTTTATTCATGGGTGCTATTCAATCCTTTATTCGCTATTTGAAAATGATTTATTTACATGGTCTTTTATTTGTTGTTGAAATTTGCGCCAAGGGATTTGCAGTAGATAAAAGTTATTTACAGGATAGATGTGAGATAAATTTACATACATAAAATTGGACGTGGTAGAGTCCTGCTACATCTATATTGTGGTTATAACACGAATAGGTACCGCTTCGTCCGTGAAAGAACCACGCTTTCATCACAGAATACCAGCTTAAAATAGCAGATTAATGCTTTTGCGTTTCGTATGACGAGTGTAAAGAATCAGATACCCTTTTTACTGAAAATGAGTTTTTTTTTTTATAGGATAAGTGTGATAAACGAGCACACAGTCCACCTGATGGTAAGTGGTTCCTGTGGCCCATAGACATCTACATCTATCATCTACATATATATCTATATATATATATATATATATATATATATATATATATATATATATATATATATATATATATATATATATATATATATATTGCAATCTTCTTACAATATCTATCTACACATATATTACAAATCAAAATGTAGATGCGTTGTCACCCGTGAGGACTAAGGGGGAATGCCTCAAGAGGTATTTAATCTTAGTCTTCAGGGACTCCTTACTTATCTTCGTTTAAATAATATAATAATTTTTTGTATATAGGTAAAAGTATAAAGTGAGCTTTTATGGATAACGTCGCGTTAAAATAGTTTATAAGTATTTATTATATAAACTAAATATTTAATTTTAAGAAATTTAATGCGATAGGCGATGTATTCGTTTATTATTTGAATTTTACGGTTGAGTTTTAAAAATAAAATTTAAAAACACACCCAACCCTTTAAATGAGAACATACAGAAATATATTTTTAAATAATTTTGGGAATTCT